AGGCCCAGTGCAGTCAAAATCCAGTTGTTCCTGTGTTTTGTATCATATTGTACAACACCTGATGAAACTAACACTGTAAAAGTGTGAAGAAATGAGATCAGTGTTATTTCCTGATAGTTGCTGTTTGAAAACACAATCTACACAGGACCTTCAAATCAGCAGGTTTCCATGGTGACATCACCATACGTTAAATTGGCTAATAGACCAATAACAAAGAGTTCCAAACCTCTCTGCCAGTAACAGCTCGTTTTCAGTTTTCTCCCTCACAGCTCAGACCACTCCCAGACAGTCCTGGCAAAATACTTGCTTGAGAAATAGTTTTTTGCTAAAAAGCCATTTGCCCCTTTTAATGGAAACCTATTGCATTAAGGTACTTAATTGTTATCCAGAAATAATTTGACATTGATATAAAAACGGCCGCATGGGGCCTTTTAATAGCCACTCAGCCCTCACACACACACTTTCTTGCAGGTAGTAATTTCTGTGGAGGAGGGTTAGGGTGGAGTTGACTTGTGGATAGGCCTGTCTTTGGCAAGAACAAGCTGTGAGGTTCAGTTTAAGGGGTGGGCGGTTCTGGGTGGATTAGGGAGAGGAGAGAGGAGTGTATTCTCACTGCTTTGTATGTTCTCTGAGTTTAGAAGACAGAGTGGCTGTTATTGTGCTGAACCTCGAGTGGGCCAGTCTGTGCTCGGCTAAAATACACATACTGTTCTGCCTCTGTTCCAGACTTGCTCGCTGTTCGACTGACTGGCTGCGACCTAGTTTGTTTTATTTGTCGCATTTGAACTGCAACAGACGAGCAATGATGTCCTAAAAGCTCACTCTGCAACCAACTCTATAAAGGACGTCTTCCGTCTGCCTCAACCTCAGTGTGTGTGTGTACACACAGGGTCAAAGTTCAGCGATAGGTGTCTAATAATATAATAATATAATATGCCATTTAGCAGACGCTTTTATCCAAAGCGACTTACAGTCATGCGTGCATACATTTTTGTGTATGGGTGGTCCCGGGGATCGAACCCACTACCTTGGCGTTACAAGCGCCGTGCTCTACCAGCTGAGCTACAGAGGACCACAAGTCTACATGTTTCCTGTCCCCGGCAGAGGCCTGAGATCATATCTATGGTTGGTTATGTAATTCAGCTATCACTTTCAAAATGACTTATGAGCCACCAGGCCGTTACATTCACAGAAATATGAGCATGCTCTCTTCCTATCATTTTCAGATTTGATTTGATCAGTTGAGATCTAGGACTATTCTACTGGCTATTCAGGGTGAAATTAGACACTGTGTGGGTTTCATGGAAATTGAACATGTGTGATTATATAGGCTAAGTTTCATGGTCACTTTTCTATGTTCTTGATGAGATATAATGATGAGGGGAAGGTGTTTATCTCCATGGTGATTGACAGCATTACAGGGAGAACTGTCAGCCAAAGACAGTGAGATTAGGCAGGAAGGGGAAGTTTGAGGTTTTGTGATTTTAGGCCAACATAACATACAAAGACGTAGACATGCAGACAGACACATGCTCTTCTGTCAGGCTCACACAGATCAGTGTGCACCCTGCAACTGAACAGGCTCATTACTTTCAGCAGTACAGAGATGGGTGATGACACGCATGCATAGAAAGTTATTAAGTCCCTGATTCACATGGTGTGTGTTCCTAGTGAGGACAGCAAACACAATAAACCGGTTTTATGACCAATGATCTGGGATTGAGGACTAACAAATACAGACGAGTAGTTCTCCTCACGTCTGCGATGAAAAAAAGTACTTTAAAATATAGGCATACAGCTGGTGTGGTGTTGTATTTTGAAAACTCTGATTGCGGTTTTATTTCGGAGGCGTTGTGGTTTGTTTGAATTGTTTACAGTGCTTTATTCTGATCCTGAAGTAAAGTCCCTAAAGGGATTGTGGGGGACACGGTCTCTCTCCATTCCTCTTCCAAATCCCCTTAAGAGTCTGTAAATAATGAGTCTTCTCTCTCTGTGTTCACTGTGGTGGGAAAGTAGGCCTAGAAGAGTTAGGCTACTTAATGCTCACTGATTACAAACTGTTCTGTGGACAGTAGACAGCGACAGCCACAATTGACTGGTTTACCATGGTGATTTAGCCTATACCCTGTTAGCTTATGCGTCGTAAGATGCTGGTTTGTGTCTGTATATGGCTGCTTAGTCAGTCTGTAGGTGTTGTTGAAGAAAAACTAGATGGGAAGGGGGGGGGGACAAGCAAGGTGTGGCTCTGACCTGTATGCTGCAGTAATTATATTTGAATAGGAATACCAGTATGCTGTGTGATTCATGTGCCCTGGCGGTGACACATTATTAGTGTGTGTGTGCGGGTGCGTAAACATTCTGAATCCAAGGAAATCCTTACACTGTGGTCTGTGCACTGACAAAGGAAAGGTCATCCTAAATATAGTTTGAAGCCACAGTGACACAAGTGTCCCTAAAGCAGGTCTATTTATTATAAAGTGTCTTGCCGTCTGTTCCTGACACTCTCCTCTCTAGCTTGTCTACATACTGCCAGATCTTGATGTATTGTCCCAGTCCTTGGCCCCCACTCAGGTAGGCCTCAGTTTGGAGTTGTTTCCCTCTGTCCTGGGCCTTCCTGCTATCGCTGTCTCTCTGAGTGCGTCTAGTTGACCTTCCTCTCAGCGACTCACAGGCCAGGCTAAATAATGGATGAGGTGCCTGGAAAGAGTGGCTAGTGTGTAGGGCCGGGACGATACCACTATTTCGTATACTCATTAGTAACGTGGCAAGGAAACAAAACACAAAGCGGATTTAACTTCTTTATGAAAACGGCCCTAATGTTGGAAACAAACATCATTATGTTGTCATCCAGAGTCACATGTATTTATTTTCCAAGCTATAGCACACAATATTTTACATACAGCAGGTTTTTAAAGCAGCAAAGATTGAAATCTGCTTCGGGTTTTCATTTTTGCCATGGAAAAAATATTGTGATACTGGTATCATCACATCTCTACTACATCATTCAGTTCATCTGTAATACTGTGTGTCTGAAATTAGTTTCAGTTTAGGTTCAGTTTCGAGGCAATTATCTAGGTGATTATCAACTGGGCAGGGCACCTTCAACTATTGGGAGAAGGAGGGGTGCAGGCCCTACTGTCGGGAGAAGGAGGGGCAGTGGGGGAAAACCATTCAAAAAATGACATGTCCTCCTAAAACAGAAAATATTGCGATACTGGTATCGTCCCAGCCCTACTGGTGTGAGATGTTACGTACCTGAATAAACAGGGGGCGGGCTAGGGGACAGCCAGGAGGGCCACTGCTAGCCTAGCACTTAGCACCCAAACAAGTGTCTCTGCAACCCCACTAATTACCACCCTACAACATTACATTTTTACATTTTTAGTCATTTAGCAGACGCTCTTATCCAGAGCGACTTACAGTTAGTGAATATATTGTTTTTTTGTTTTGTTTATACTGGCCCCCCGTGGGAATCAAACCCACAACCCTGGCGTTGCAAACGCCATGCTCTATCAACTGAGCTGCATCCCTGCCGGCCATTCCCTCCCCTACCCTGGACGACGCTGGGCCAATTGTGCGCCGCCCATGAGTCTCCCGGTCGCGGCCGGCTGCGACAGAGCCTGGATTCAAACCAGGATCTCTAGTGGCACAGTTAGCACTGCGATGCAGTGCCTTAGACCACTGCGCCACTCAGGAGTACATCCCTCCCTGATCAGTCGTCTCACACTAACCAACCACAGAGCGTGCTGTGCTGAAGTCGAGGTGGTGCTGCGCAGGGCAGGCAGGGTGTGTCAATCATTAATGAATGGCGTCCCATCTCCGGTTTCCTCAGGGAGAGAGAGGAGTGGAGGGAGTAGGAGGAGGGGGGGACTGGTCCAAGATGACAACAAGCTTAGGGGGGCAGATTTTGTACATTACGGTAACAGGGCACTCTCACTATCTCACACACGCTCTCTCTCTCTCTCTCTGTCTCTCTGTGTTTGCAGGTGTCAAGGGAGGGAGGTAGAATGTTATGTATTTTCAGCAGCTTAATGGATTCTTGAGATGCCTTGATGCCGGACTCTTCCTGGTTCCTGAAGCACCACCTGCACTGGCCTATTACAGGACTAGAAGACTGACAAGTGATCCAATCCCATGCAGCCCCCCACCTCTGACCAACCTCTGCCCTTCCATTCTCTCATACTATTGCACTCTGAAAGCAGGTTCTGTGCAGTATTAGTAAAAAAAAATGTTTACCTCATTGAAATATTTTTTTGACAGGGACCTCACGATATGAAATTATTGCCATACTTAGGTGCCGATTTATGTATAGTGATTCTCACATTTCTCATGATTCTATAGTTATTGCAATTCGATACTGCGATTTTATTGTGATTTGATGTTACAAACATATTGCTCACTACATGTCTGCTGCAGAGAGACAAGAGAGCATGAGAAAATTAGTTTTGATCAATCATGGAAATAAAAGTGCTGAAACCATGTTGGCTCACTATTTAAGAAGAAGATGGAGAACAAGCTATTGGATGGTGCAGGTATAGCCGACTAGTGCTAGTATCGCTACCTAGCAAGACAAATAAATTACAAATAGAAAGTAGCGATTTATAATATTGTCCAAAATAATATTGTGATATGTAACTATATCGATTTATTTTTTATTATTATTTTATTTTATTTTTTGTAGTAATATGGATTTAAGGACTGAAACATGGTTCAAAGTCATCTGGAGGGTTCTGTTTTGGATTTATTGCTGCAACCAGTTGGTTTTCAGGGGATTTGATCTCCATTGTTGTTCTTGATTGTCCATAACCTAAAGGGGGCCCATGGAAGATTAAAAAGAGACACTGATGTTCTGCTGCTACCCAGACAAACAATACCGTCTTGGACCTTTACAGCATGGAGATGTCTGCCACCTGACCCTCCACTGACAAACTACATTGTTTGATCTTGGACTCCAGCAGCTTTGATTATTTTTGTGTTCACTTTCTACTGCTAAAACCCAGAACCAGATCAGACCAGTGAAACAGGACAGCAGAGGGGGGGGGGAGGTGGGCGTGGCATGGCGGAGCACGGCGAGCTGCTCGGTGAGATGGCCACGATTGGGCGTCTTAGCGCCACGGAGCGCTTGAAGCACGCCCAGAAGCGGCGTGCCCAGCAGCTGAAGGGCTGGGCCCAGATGGACAAGGACATGGCCCGCGGCGGGGGCAAGGCCGGCCAGAAGGGCGACAAAAAGGGGCGCACGCGCAGGGTGGTTTTCCCCAACAACATCACCCTGCTGGAGGCTGCAGCGCGCAATGACCTGGAGGAGGGTGAGTCAGTCAGCACACCACTATGGGGTGGTTTCATGACACCTAGCCTAGACACTAAGCCTAGTCTTGGACTGAAAAAAGCATGCTCAATGGAGAATCTCTTATTAAAATAGTTTTTAAGTCCAGAACTAGGCTTAGGCTAATCCATGTCTGGGAAACGGGCCATAGAGGTCTTATTCTACCAAAGGAATTCCAACTACCCCTTAGAAAAGGCTGCTGTTTTTCACGGTTGCTGTTCTTCAAAGTAGCCTAGCATGAGTTGTGGCAGGGCAGTGGCACAACACGACCGCGCTATAAACAGGAAATCATTCATGGCTATTTTATGTGAGACGCGTCATACTTTTAAGCTTATCAGACCAAGCATTTGGTTTTAATGGTGTTATTATTAGCATACATGATTATGGCTAATTCTAGTGGTAACTTGAACTTTTGCGTGCATTGCAAGAGCAGAGGTTATCTGAAATTGTACAACTGCTGGGTCTAATCCTATATTCTGATTGGTTAAAACCACATTCCAGACGGTTTCTATTTCACAAGTTACCACCAGCTAAAGCTATGACTTTGTAACTCTTATTTACTGTTCCATCTCACTGCAAGAGACAGGCAATTTGTAAAGTTGATCTCCACTGTAAAACTCTAGACATTATTTCCTCTTTTAAGACTAGCATTTTGTGTGTAGATGTGTGTGTATTGTTAGATATACTACTGCACTGTGGGAGCTAAGAACACAAGCATTTCGTTACACCCGCTATAACATCTGCTAAATATGTGTATGCGACCAATACCAATTTTATTTGAAGACTAGTATTTGGTTTTCAACAGCAGAGATTTGTATAAATCTTGCTGTCTGTCTCTCGACTTTGTCTCGGGCCTAACAACACCTGTGCCAATATATCCTCCAAACACCGGCTTCTCTGGCATTATCACTTAACTAAGATTCATAGCATCACTTACTGAGTCTTAGTGAATAACGGCCATGTTGTGAATGTTTCTCTGCAGTGAGGGAGCTGCTGAATGGTGGAGTCAGTCCAGATCTGTACAACGAGGACGGACTCACTGCCCTGCACCAGGTACACACGCGCTCGCACACACAGTCCGACGTCTACCCGATTGGTCACCGTGTGTGTTTTATGTTTAGTGTGGTTCTCAGCACTGTAAGTACTGTCTGTCTGTGTGGTGTCTATCTAAAATCACAGTTTACGTGAACACTGTAGAATGTTTTCATATTGCTTCTAGGGCTAGACATGTAACTGCTGCTCTCGACTGGACTGGACTGGCTCTTACTTACATTCCTAGACCGTTGGGAAGGATAGATTTAATGACGGCCCCCTTCATAGCACTTCTGTGTTGTGTTTGGAAACGTCTACCAACACAACACCAAGAAAATACACTGCTCTCTTTCAAGTCAGAAAGACACAGACCCTATACACACACACACACACACACACTGTAAATGCATAAGAGTGGCACTAGAGAGCACAGTGCTCTCTTTATAGTATTTCTTCTCTCCAGAAAAATATCATATGTTTACTTAGTAAAGGGCTGGAGGCCTGGACCTATGCAAATTCAGTTTACACTGCAGTTGACAGTAAACCCATGGATGTGCAGAAGTGTGTTTATTATGCCCCTTGTGTGTGTGTCTGTGTGTGTGTCTGTGTGTGTGTCTGTGTGTCTGTCTGTGTGTCTGTCTGTGTGGTGTTCCCCCTGCAGTGCTGCATTGATGACTTTGTGGCGGTGGTACAGTGTCTGTTGGACGCTGGGGCCAGTGTGAACGCCTGTGACAGTGAGCTGTGGACGCCGCTCCACGCCGCTGCCACCTGTGGACACACCGGCCTGGTGCAGCTCCTGGTGCAGTCGTGAGTCACATTATAAACACTTCAACCTGACACACTCTCAGTGCACTGCTAGTCACAGAAATGTACACTCAGTAACAATATACTGTGCAGAATGCGGAGGACTTTTTGACCCAGTCCTCTGGGTGAACTTCCAACAACTTCTTAGCCTTTCTTCACAGGTGCTATCATACAATTCAAGGACATCCTTATAGTTTCCAAGGTGTGATAAAGATGTGTTTGCCACTGGTGTAATGTTCTCCTTGTCTGTGTCCAGTGGAGCAGAGCTGCTGGCTGTCAACGCTGATGGCAACATGCCCTATGACCTTTGTGAGGACGAGGCCACACTGGAGCTGCTAGAGATGGTCATGGCAGAGCAGGGTCAGTAGAGGGCCCAAAAACCAACCTGAACCCCCCCCCCCCCCCCCAAACTTATCCTCTCATCACATTTCCAACCATACACTCACCCTGTCACCATGGCTACAGCCCTTAGCCGCAGCCCTGTAACCATAGCTACCTAGAACTTATTGTGATTAGTTGCAATCCCTTCTATGACCCTTAGATAAACCCAGTCCAAGTCAAATGTAGTCAAATCAATGATGGTCTTTGTGGAAATCTGTAAGAACTCTGTGTTAACTTGCTGTGTGTCTGTGCAGGTATAACCCAGGACCGTATAAACCAGTGTCGTGGGGCTAAGGAGATGGAAATGCTGACGGACATTCAAGTGCTGGTCCAGAGTGGAGCGGACTTGAACACTCAGGATGACAACGGGGCCACACTGGTGAGACACTCGCATTCAAATCTTTTTTTTACAATTCTTCTCCTCTAATCAGGGACTGATTTAGACTTGGGACACCAGGTGGGTGCAATTATCAGGTAGAACAGAAAACCTGTAGTACTCTGAACCTCGTAGTGTAGGATTTGAATACCCCTGCTGTAAACCTGGGAAGATAAAGGTCAAATACAGTACTTAAAAACAGCACCACGGTTCACATCGCACTACGGTTTCAGCTTTGCAACAGCAGCACAGCGTGTTGAACTTCTAGTCTCGTATTATGATCATATCTTCACCTCACCACTGGGATGAAAGGTTGACTGTAAAAAATCCACCTCCAGCTGCACATAGCGGCGGCTAACGGCTACTTATCGGTGGGGGAACTGCTACTGGAGCACAGGGCCAATGTGGAGCAGCAGGACATGGACGGCTGGACAGCACTCCACGCCGCCTCCTGCTGGGGACAGGTCAGTATTGTAGCACTCAGAGAACAGGCTAGAATGAATCCACAGCCCCCTTTCTCAACGATCATGTTATGCTATGCTAATTAGCTGGTTCACTGACCTGATTGTGCTGGTGTGTCTGTTTCCCCAGATCCTAATGGTGGAGCTGCTGGTGGCTCATGGGGCCAGTCTCAACACCAAGTCTGTCCTGGAAGAGACGCCGCTGGGTAAGAACACAACATTTTTACATTTGACATTTTAGTCATTTAGCAGACGCTCTTATCCAGAGCGACTTAAGATAGCTAGGTGAGACAACCACATCACAGGCTTAGAAAGTACACTTTTCCTCAATAACGTAGCTATCAGTAGAGTCAGAGCTAGAAGGGGGGTCAAGTGCTGTTAATTAAAATAAAAAAATATTAATAAAAAATGTGTTTTACCCCTGTAGTTACTGTGGAGACGTGAAGGGCAATGACACAGAACCCTGGTATAGGTTGACTTATTAACTGTTATCTTGGTAGATAATTGTTATCCACACACAGCATCACCATGTATCAGAGAGTGTAAGCCTGAATGGGGAAGGATTCAACAGAAATGTCTTCCGCATTTATCCCAACCCCTCTGAATCAGAGAGGTGCGGGGGTCTGCCTTAATCGACATCATCGGCGTCCGGGGAACAGTTGTTGTTGGGGGTTAAGGGCAGAATGGGGATGACGTCCTGACTGTAGTGTTTTCTGTCCGTGGCAGATGTGTGTGCGGACGAGGAGGTGAGAGCCAAGCTGATGGAGTTGAAGCACAAACACGACACCATCATGAAGAGTCATGACCGACACAAGGGCACCTTGCAGAGACGAGCCTCCAGCACTGGCAGCAGAGGGTGAGTGGGGGGGTGAACAAGTGAGCGGATTAGTTCAAGGTTTAAAGATGGAAGGTTAAGAGTAGATTAGGGTTTTGTTAAGACACAAGCAAAGCCTCAACCTCTTGTCAGCTTGTAGCTGTGTACAGTGTCTCTGTCTGTCGTCTCCTGTCTGAGCAGTAAGGTGGTGCGGCGTGTGAGTGTCAACGAGCGTTCCAGCCTGTACCGGCGGGAGCACCACAAGGAGGCCATGGTGTGGCAGGAGAGAGGCCGGCAGGCCGAGCCGCAGGACAACGATGAGGACAGACAGACGGACAACGAGCTCCACCAGCATGCTGCCATGGTAAGTGGTGCTGTATTACGGCTGTCATAGCAACAACACCAGGACAAACTGCAACCATGTTCAGTTAACACTGAAAATAGAGGATATGATTCATAATTGATAGGTGAATGTGTCATTAACTCTCTTGCTCTGGCTTTCTCAGGCTGCAGGTGCCATGTCGAGGCCGGAGAATGAGGAGGGAGCGGAGAGGAAGTCTAGTCTGGGGAACGGTGGGACGCCCCTGGCCCTCTCGGCGTCCGTCCCGGGGGTGCAGTGGAGTGGAGGCCCGATGGACCGCAGTGCTTCCTACCAGCTGAACCCTGCCTCAGGGTCTGGGTCTGGGGAGGGAAGGGACAGCATGACCCAGGAGAAATCCCACCAGACTCTAGCGGACCTGAAACGCCAGCGGGCCGCAGCCAAGCTCAACAAGTGCCCCGCCCTACCTCTGCCCCCTCCCTCAGAGGAGGAGCCCCCCTCTCCCGCCCCACTGCAGGAGGTGACCCCCTCCCGAGCCGCCCAGGAGACCCCCAGCACAGAGGAGGTGGCCTTTCCCAGCTCTGTGTACTTCACTCCAGCCAGCGGGGACCCGCCCCTGCTCAAACTACGAGCCCCAGAGGAGGACACCTCCAACAACACCAAGGAGCCCTGCTGCAGAATCATGTAGAGCCACACAAACACTCCTAAGCACCCACTGCCTGACTGGGAATGAAAGTGGGCGATATGTAACACTCCTATGTGGCAAACCGATTTCAAATCAAAACACTGGTGACAACCAGATATACTTTTAAGGATTCATTGCAGTTTGATTCATTCTAAGCTTATTATTTGATTCCAGCGTTAAGCGCCTACTTCCAATAATGATATGCTGTTGAATGTTTGGTCCAAACTCCATTTTAGTAAATGTAGTAATACATTTATCTTCTTGCACAGATTTATTTTCAACTCTCCTTCCTGAAAAATCTAAAACAAGATTTATGTAATGGAGAGAATGTAATACATTTCCAATATATGAGCACCTAACATAACGCTCCTAACGTTCCTCATTGCTCCTCTGTTGAGGAGGGTGTGGCCAGAGCCGTATATTTACATATGGATATTGCTCTGAGTCTATTTGGACCTCAAGGAGACCTTATATGGCCACCTGGTGGCGTTTTAGGCTGTGTGTAGAGACTTACAGATACCAGTATTAGTCTTGCAATAGCACTGAGTACTTTCCTCTTAAGTCCCTTTTTTCATGTGTGTTTGGGGCAGTTCAATCAAGAGTCCTCACACTAGGCTGTATCAAGCACATAATATATGAATTGGATTTGCATATTCAAAGCAGGAAGGGGCTAGAGCAGAATGAACCCAAGCTGATTATTATGCTTTCTTATTTCAAGCTGATAATCGGACCAATGAATGATCTTTCCTACTCATGATTGACTGAACATGATTTGAGATGTGCACTGTAACTTGATGTGCACTGTTGATTTGAAGGGAAGCACAGATGATGATTTCCTAAAGTGATTGATACGAAAGGGTACATGATAGCATTTATTGATCTTACAGTGCATTCTGAAAGTATTCAGACCCCTTGACTTTTTCCACATTTTGTTTCATTACAGCCTTATTCTAAAATGGATTAAATCGTTTTTTCCCCTCAATCTACACACAGTACCCCATAATGACAAAGCAAATGTATTACAAATAAAAAACTGTTGAAACACCTTTGGCAGCGATTACAGCCTCGAGTCTGCTTGGGTATGACACTACAAGCTTTGCAGACCTGTATTTGGGGAGTTTCTCCCATACTTCTCTGCAGATCCTCTCAATCTCTGTCAGGTTGGATGGGGAGCGTCGCTGCCACCACTATGCTTCAACGTAGGGATGGTATTGGCCAGGTGATGAGCGGTGCCTGGTTTCCTCCAGACGTGACGCTTGGCATTCAGGCCAAAGAGTTCAATCTTGGTTTCATCAGAACAGAGAATCTTGTTTCTCATGGTCTGTCATGTGCCTTTTATTGAGGAGTGGCTTCTGTCTGGCCACTCTACAATAAAGGCTCCCATCTCCACAGAGGAACTCTGGAGCTCTGTCAGAGTGACCATCTGGTTCTTGGTCACCTCCCTGGCCAGCTCTAGGAAGAGTCTTGGTGGTTCCAAACTTCTTCCATTTTAGAAGAATAATGGAGGCCACTGTGTTCTTGGGGACCTTCAATGCTGCAGAAATGTTTTGGTACCCTTCTACAGATCTGTGCCTTGACGCAATCCTGTCTCGGACCTCTACGGACATTTCCTTCGACCTCATGGCTTGGTTTCTGCTCTGACATGCACTGTCAACTGTGGGACCTTATATAGACAGGTGTGTGCTTTTCCAAATCGTCCAATCAGTTGAATTTACCACAGGTGGACTCCAATCAAGTTGTAGAAACATCTCAAGGATGATCAATGGAAACAGGATGCACCTGAGGTCAATTTCGAGTCTCATAGCAAAGGGTCTGAATACTTATGTAAATAAGGTATCTGTTTTTATTTGTATTTCTAAAAACCTGTTTTCGCTTTGTCATTATGGGGTATTGTGTGTAGATTGATGAGGGGAAAATGTAATGCATTTTAGAATAAGGCTGTAATGGAACAAAATGTGGAAAAAGTGAAGGGGTCTGAATACTTTCCGAATGCACTGTATTTGTTTTCCAGGCACACCTGTCTGTCTGTCTGTCTGTCTGACAGGGTACGGAAGTGGGATAGTTTTTCGAGATATCTTTCTTTTTCTTGTTAGTTTGAATTTGCATCACATTTAAGGGTAGACAAGTGCTATTGCCCTACCTTTCTCCTGATCAGCATTCATCACTGTTCTTAAAATGATTGTTTTTTTTGTTCATTAGTCAATTTACTGTTCCAGTGCACTAAGAAAATATTACATTTTGATAAGTCTACGGTGCAATTTGTAAACAAGTTTTTTTTTTTCTAAATGGTTGTAAGAGATTATCTTATATTTAAATTAATGTAAATGAATGTGTTTTTGTCATGGCGTTCAATGTTCCCCCTCAGGATTAAATAACTTTCAATAGGCATTTCTATTCAAATAGTTTCTATACTCTGAATAGGGATTTATGTTGTTTACAGTAGGTTGACCTCAACCATTCCTTCACAACAGACCATTCCTACCTAGAAACCAGGATCTACATTGTCTAAATGAAATGAAGGGGTCATCAGAACACCTGACAGATGGATAGAAAACGATCTTGGTTAACCTCGTCAATGTGATGGTTTGTCAACAGTAAGTGCCTTCTGTAGCACAGGAGGTTGGTGGTACCTTAATTGGGGAGGGCGGGCTATTGGTAATGGCTGGAGCGGAATTGTTGGAATGGTATCAAATACATCAAACGCATGGTTTCCATGTGTTTGATGCCATTCCATTTGTACCGTTCCAGCCATTATGAGCCGTTCTCCCCTCAGCAGCCTCCACTGTTCTGTAGGGTTGGCTAAGTGAAAATATACTGAACAAAAATATAAACGCAACATGTAAAGTGTTGGACCCATGTTTCATGAGTTGAAATAAAAGATCCCAGAAATGTTCCATACGCAGAAAAAGCTGTTCTCTCAAAGTTTGTGAACAAATTTGTTTACATCGCTGTTTGTGAGCATTTCTCCTATGCCAAGATAATCCATCCACCTGACAGGTGTGGCATATCAATAAGCTGATTAAACAGCATGATCATTACACAGGTGCACCTTAAGCTGGGGACAATAAAAGGCCTCTGAAATGTGCAGTTTTGTCACAACACAATGCCACAGATGTCTCAAGTTGAGGGAGTGTGCAATTGGCATGCTGACTGCAGAAAATGTCCACCAGAGCTGTTGCCAGAGAATTTAATGTTAATTTCTCTACCATAAGCCTCCTCCAATGTCGTTTTAGAGAATTTGGCAGTATGTCCAACGAGCCTCACAACCGCAGACCACATCACAGGAGGTTGGTTGCTCCTTAATTGGGGAGAACGGGGTTGTGGTAATGGCTGGAGCGGAGTAAGTGGAATGGTATCAAATACATGGTTTCCATGTGTTTGATGCCATTCCATTGCTTTGTGCCGGCCATTATTATGAGCCATTCTCCCCTCAGCAGCGGTTTGCTGATGTCAATGTTGTGAACAGAGTGCCCCATGGTGGCGGTGGGGTTATGGTATGGGCAGGCATAAGCTATGGACAACGAACACAATTTCATTTTATCAATGGCAATTTGAATGCACAGAGATACCGTGACAAGATCCTGAAGCCCATAGTCATGCCATTCATCCTTAACCATGTTTCAGCATGATAATGCACATCCCCATGTCGCAAGGATCTGTACACAGTTCCTGGAAGCTGAAAATGTGTACGACAGTGTGTTCCAGTTCCCACCAATATCCAGCAACTTCACACAGCCAATGAAGAGGAGTGGGACAACAATCCATAGGCCACAATCAACAGCCTGATCAACTCTATGCGAAGGAGATGTCGCGCTGCATGAGGCAAATGGTGGTCACACCAGATACTGACTGGTTTTCTGATCCACGCCCCTACATTTGTTAAGGTATCTGTGACCAACAGATGCATATCTGTATTCCCAGTTATGTGAAATCCATAGATTAGGGCCTAATGAATTTATTTCAATTCTGATTTCCTTATATGAACTGTAACTCAGTAAAATCTTTGAAATTGTTGCATGTTGTGTTTTATTTTTTGGTTCAGTATAGTTTGCATTGCTTGCACAAAGTTCCATATGGACAGTTTGGAATTCTGATTGGTGTGAAATATGGGACTAAATTCCTGTCAGTGACTCCCTCCTAAATGTACAATTGAAATGTCTCATGTCCCAATGAAACTCAATTACCCATTTTAATTAGTTTGTTTTAATGCAGACCATGATTTGTACGGTTGCTGCCTGTTTAATGTTTTCACAGATTTTTTTATAGATTTTTTTTAAATGCGTCTTTGGCTTAGAGTACTTGTGTAGACATTGTCATTTATTTGTATACATTGGGATTCAGGTGGACAGTCATGCTTGCGCTCTTAATGCGGCAATCCTTAACTGAAACATTAACAGTGTTCTCCCTGCCACAGTTTCAGTAAAAAGCTGAGGGATGGGGCTGGAGAAATGCAATCACTCTCAAACCATAGACTACGCTATGGATGCAAGGACTGACCATCCGTGATATCAACATGATCGTTTTCACCAAATGTTTAGGTTCTTTACATTTACTTTGTTTACAAACATTGGAGTAAAACAAGCTTATATTTTGGGTTCAGATGGGGTACGACTGTTGAACTAAGCTCATGGGGCATTTATACGTTATATTCTTCAAGAATCAATGGGTACATATCACTCATTTGTAAGTCCAAAAATGGATGTAGCAACTAAGGAATGCGTCTTTAATAGATATATAGCACTGTGTGATGTGTCCTTCGCCTGCCACATTACTGTACTAAAAAACCAGCAGGGGTCCACTGAGGGAAGAGAAACATGCTGCTCAACATTCACACCAGTTTCCTCTCTATTGAACATTAATGTACAGTTGAAGTCGGAAGTTTACATACACTTAGGTTGGAGTCATTAAAACTCGTTTTTTCATCCACTCCACAAATTTCTTTTGAACAAACTATAGTTTTGGCAAGTCGGTTAGGACATGTACTTTGTGCATGACAAGTAATTTTTCCAACAATTGTTTACAGACGGATTATTTCACTTATAATTCACCCAGTGGGTCAGAAGTTTACATACACTAAGTTGACTGTGCCTTTAAACAGCTTGGAAAATTCCAGAAAATGATTTCATGGCTTTAGAAGCTTCTGATAGGCTAATTGACATCATTTGAGTCAATTGGAGGTGTACCTGTGGGTGTATTTCAAGGCCTACCTTCAAACTCAGTGCTTCTTTGCTTGACATCATGGGAAAATCTAAAGAAATCAGCCAAGACCTCAGAAAAATAATTGTAGACCTCCACAAGTCTGGTTCATCCTTGGGAGCAATTTCCAAACGCCTGAAGGTACCACGTTCATCTGTACAAACAGTAGTATGCAAGTATTAAAACCATGGGACCATGCAGCTGTCATACCGCTCAGGAAAGAGACACGTTCTCTCCTAGAGATGAACGTACTTTGGTGCGAAAAGTGCAAATCAATCCCAGAACGGCAGCAAAGGACCTTGTGAAGATGCTGGAGGAAACAGGTACAAAAGTATCTATATCCACAGTAAAACGAGTCCTATATCGACATAACCTGAAAGGCCACTCAGCAAGGAAGAAGCCACTGCTCCAAAACCGTCATAAAAAAGCCAGACTTCAGTTTGCAACTGCACATGGGTACAAAGATTGTACTTTTTGGAGAAATGTCCTCTGGTCTGATGAAACAAAAATAGAACTGTTTGGCCATAATGACCATCGTTATGTTTGGAGGAAAAGGGGGAAGGCTTGCAAGCCGAAGAACACCATCCCAACCGTGAAGCACGGGGGGTGTCAGCATCATGCTGTGGGGGTGCTTTGCTGCAGGAGGGACTGGTGCACTTCACAAAATAGATGGCATCATGAGGAAGGAAAATTATGTGGATATATTGAAGCAACATCTCAAGACATCAGTCAGGAAGTTAAAGCTTGGTT